TGTGTGTGTGTGTGTGTGTGTGTGTGTGGTATTTAACCTTAATTTGATTCGTTTTTCCTTATTTTTCGCTTTTTCCCTACTGCTGCCGTATTCCTTACTTGAATTTCCAGGTAACGACGTCCTTGCTGGGCACACACACATACATGTATGTGTATCTATGTGTGTGTGTGTGTGTGTGTGTGCATGGCTAAATGCCAGCAAATATTCCCCATAACTTTTTAAAGCCCAAACTCAGCAAAAATTGATTAAACAAAGTGTCTGACATTTGGAGCTGGAGTAGCGCGAAACTTAAAGCAAGCTGAAAATTCAGTTTTGGCATAGCACAGCTAAAGATGTATGTACATACATAGTATGTACGTTTACATATAGTTATATCTTTTGTTTAAAATAGAATCCCCCCCCCCCCCCGAAAGAAATTGTTGTGACCGCAATTTGAGTTTTTGGGGAGATTCTCGAGCCCCTTTCAAACAAAAACACAACAAAAAATGACCACCAGCTGCTGCGTGGCATGACAAATTTCTCACACGCCAACGTTTTCTTTTGCTCAGTTTAGTTTCTTCTTCAAATGCATTTCCACCCTCCCCTCCCCTCCCCTCCCCTACCCTCTGTGAAAATACACTATTTATGAAAATATTTTTCACACTTTGCATTCACTTTTGTGTGAGCTTTTCACACTTTTCCCTCACTCGCTTAGTTATGAAAATGAACACAGAAATATTGCCCAAGGCAAATGCTTCTCTCGGGCAGGCAGATTTTTCAATTAAAAGTTTTAATTGCCCCGAAGAAAGTCAATGAATCCAACAAGACCCATGGCAGCTAAAGTTTTGGTGCGCAGCAATCAACACAAAGGCTTATCAATGCACTAATGTAAAGGATTGTTTATGTATGCACAAATATGCATTACCCATCCACTTCAGTTGGCGCCCCACACGCTTGCCACAGTATTATGTCATTGCAAAATATTGTAGATTAATGATTAGCAGGCCAATTCGCAATCAATACTACGTACAGCCAGATAGGAGGAGAAGTACTCGTACACACACACAGGAGTGTGCATATAGAAGATAGTTCCACTCGATTCCTCTCCCTGTCTTGTTTACTCGGGCAAACAACACAGCAATTCGCTCGAGCTCTAGAGCTGCCTGTCATTTATTTATGCCAAATGCCGGCACTGGCGCTTCGTTTTATGCAACATTGACATGCAAATCAAATAAAATATAATTGCACATCAGTCCCCGCCCCCCCCCCCCCCGCCTGTGATGGAGACAGAGTGTAGGAGGGGAGATGGCATTTTAGTTTTCCACCCAACATCATTTATTCGCACTTCAATTGCACTTTCAAGTTGACAAACTTTCATACATCGTGGAAGATTGTCTGTTGATGGTAACATAAGTGCGGTTTTCACGGTTTTTTTTCACTAATTAGTTTCTCGAATTAACAGCAATCCAACGAATTGTTCTTCAATTTATAGCAGAGAAAATAATGACAGCCTTTTGTACACATAACAATTGAATAATAATTCCACTCAATGGCTAAGGAATCATCAGCTGGTCCCCTCTAAATACTATAATTTCACATCCACAAAATTTCATTCATTGTTTTGCCTTGGACTCGGTGTGGACCTGCGTTTCATTTGACTTGGACTTTTGGTTCCGTCCACTGAATGACTTTCCTCATAAACATTTTTAACAGCGACTCATCGGCGATCTTTGTACCTCCTCTCTCTCATAATCTGTCTCTCCTCTCTCTCTCTCTCTTTTAGTCTATGCGCCTTTCTGCCTTTCCTCTTAGTGGATTGCCAGATACAAATCAAATGCGTTTGCTTATCAAATAAACTTAATCAAGTTTTGAGCTTTGTACTCGACAGAACACGACACTCGCGGCCAGTGTTTCGTGGTCCTCGCTCCCTCTTCTCTCTTTCCGGCTTATGGTGGTTACACTCGAGGAATTTATGTGTGGCAGCCTGCCCTGCCAAGTCAAGTGTGATTTCAGCCGCAGACGCAGACGCAGACGTTCTCTTCTAGAGAACTCTTCCAATCTTATCAATGTAAGATTTTCCTAGTTTCAGTTGTGGGGCGGCGGGCTATGGGGCTTATCGCATGATTTGACCCTCCCCTCCGGCATTAGACACCCCTCCCTCTTATCAGCGATGGGCTTATCAGCCTGTTCTCTCCCTCTTCTCTCTCCCTGGTTGTTGGCACACAACGACACGACGGAGACCCATTGAACGACAGGGGAACTAAACTACGAAAGTATTAACCCAGAAGAAAACCTCAAAAAATTATGCTACAATAAATTCAGAAGAAACGTGGAGGAGCTGCCTTTCCCGCCAAGGGTTTCCGCATATTGATTTATGGAAAGCGACTTCAGAGCGTGGTGGGTGGGCACTGTACGAATGGCAGGCACTGTAGGCGAATACTTTTCATTATGCTGACCGATTATGACACTTTTTAATGGCATTTTCTCGTTCTGCTTTTATGCTATTGATTTCTGGTTACGTTGCAGACAGCAGACAGCAGACCGGGCAGACCCTTATGGCTGGGAAGGGGCTAGGGGAACAGAAAATGAAAATGCTTTCCCAATTGAACATTTTTCTCTGCCTCCCTCCGCCTCAGAGATGTACAACATTCTGGGGGTTCTCGGTTGTTTCTTTTTGAAGCCATATGCTGGTCAAGTCCAATTTCTTTTCTTATGCATATGTCTTTTCAAAGAGATGGGAAGGGTGTGGGAGCATCCACAAACCAAGACAGTAAGGAAAATTGCTGTGTAATTGCTTGGAAGAAAGATATAAATTGGAATTGAAAGTGCTGTGAAAAATGGATGGAAAATTGATTTAAAAGCAAAGATAAACGACAGCCCAGAGCCCTTCCCCAGCCAGGCGCTGGGTAATGCTGAAGGTAAATATTATAAATGTTTACTATAATTACTGTATTCATCCATTCCCATTTACTTGTTGGATTAGCAATTCAAAAACACTCGTACTACTCGCACATGGCATTCCGATTACATCGCTTGGTGTGGCAATGGGTTTAGGCACTGATAACCCGGTTCGGTTCTGATCAAGAGTGGCACTGGGTGAACAGGTTTCTGGGGAGTGGGGCGGGTCAACTCTCGTTCAATGTGTTTCAATGACCTCCGACCTACACATCCACACATCCACACCCCACTGCCGATGACAGATAGATACTCTCGTGCTCTCGTACTCTCAGATGACCATATGCCACAGTTTAACCTTGTGACAACCCTCAGTTCTGGCAGTGTTCCGCCTCGCCCTTGGCTTCTGCCTCTGTGGAGGCTAATAACCTTATCAATTCTGATTCTGACTTTGATACTGTCCGTCGCATCTACCAGAACTGCTAGTTACAGTCCTCTAAGCCCTGAAATCGCTCCCTTAAATTGGTCATTACCTCCAAATGTTCCTAAATTCCCCAGACGACACCCCGCTCCATTCCATTGATTTACGTTGTCTTGTGGGAATGGGAGAGGCGTGAAAAATGTTTGCATTTTATACTAAAAAAATTATTGTGCCATTAACTTGGAACGTGTCTAAATCTGCTGCTCCTGCCTGTGTACAGAATTTTGCATATTTCCGGTCATGCACTAGTCTGAACCCCCCCAATCAAAGAATAATTCCTTTTTTATGGTTCAACTTTTTGTTCGAATTTTATTTTTATGTGCTTCGCATTTTTGGGCAGCTTTCAAGTGGAAACAGATTGCCAGCACTTGGAGGAGTACTGGAAGCCTTGAAAGAGTACTTTTAGGTATTAGGTATTATTTATAGTATTGTTCAAGGGGGAGAGAAACTTTATTACTACTCAACGTATCTATCAGAGTTTGTTTCATTACTCTGTTGAATTTCTTTCTTTTAATATTTTCATTGAAACTTACCATTTATGCCGCTGATCAGAGGATAATTACCATCACGGCCGCCAATTAAGTTTTTTAAACCAGTTTCGATCAGTGTTGGGGACGATCGCTCCCTGTCGCTCATTTTTTCATACAAATTTCCGAAATTTTGTGATTATACACGAACCAAAAAAAGTGTCTCCTTGCGGGTCTGTTCTTGTTTTCTCTTGTGTGTGTGTGTGTTTTTTTTTTATTATTATTTTGTGTAACAGTATTTCGAGTATCAATTAATTTACAATCTCACAACAATAACAATTATGTTAATTATAGTAAAACAGATTTTGTTTCTCACGTTTCTTGCTGTTTCGTTTCGTTTCGTTTCGTTTCGCTTTGTATTGATATTTTGATTTGTTTGCTTAGTTTAGTTTAGTTACTTGTTAATTTGTTGGCTTTCTTTTGTTTTACTTTGAATCACAATTGAAAATTAATTTAATTAAACCTTTGAAAATATTGCACGTTTCCGTTACGATTTATTGCTTCGTCTATATTATTTAATATATATTTGTATGCATATATCAACTTCTCTATATAGATATATGTATGTGTGTATGTTACTTGATTTGTTGTTAAGACTTTGCTTCTATATGCTGGCTATAAATAAAGGCACCGCGAATTCATTCAACAATTTATACGCTCTTTAACTTTTTGCTTTTTAAACTATGTAAAACTATTTTAACTTCCTTTTAATAACAACATTTGCGAGTACAACAAGAATTTTCGATTATTTCTATAGCTTGGCTGTGGTTTTTCTATATATATTTTTTGTTTTATTCTATTTTCCGTTTCAATAGGGGAGAATAGAGGTTTCTGCTTTTTGCTGACTTTTTGGTTACTTTTTAGTTGAGTTTTGTGTTTGCTGTTGTTGTTGTTGTTGTTGTTGCTGTTTTTATCTTTTGTTTAATTGAATTTGTTGTTTCATTGGCTAATTAAGCTATTTTTGTAGCCTTCCCTCGTTCGCTCCTGCTGCTGCTGCTGCTGCTGCTGCTGCTGCTGCTGTTGCTTTTGCCGAATGCCGAATGCGTTTCGCTCTGCGTTTTATTTCCTTTGGGCCGATTTTCCTTCGTTTTTCCGTGGCTTTTTTTTTGTGTGTTTTATTGTTGACAATTTTCAGTTTCGAAAAACGTTTAACGCTGCTGCTCTGCTGCTTGAATGATGTTGCTGTTATTTTTTTAGCGGCGGCACTAAAATAAAATCAATTGCTTTTCTGTTGTAGAGTTCTCCCTTGCTGCTGCTGCTGCTGCTGTTGCTTTCTTTGATTTCTGGTGTGTGTGTGTGTGTGTGTGTGTGTATCTGTGTAGTCGATATATATCCTATTGTACAGTTATAAAGCACTAATATGGCATTTGAATAGACTTGAAGTCTAACCGCTAACCCGCACACGCTCTTCACTGGATCGCCCGGCGTGCGATTAAGATGGAGGCAGAGTCAGAGTTAGAATCAGAGCATTGACTGTGGTGGAGCGTCAGCCTGGAGGGGAGTGGGTGATGTCGTGGGTGTTGATCAGGCAGGATGGCAGCGCCCCAGATAGAGAGAGAGAGAGCGAGAGACAGGGAGAGAGTGTGAAAGAGAGCGCCGAGCGTTGGAAACGAACTACGAACGACGACCGCACGACAGGGAAAATCGATGGAAAATGTTGACAGCTCCTCGCACTCACACACTTAACACACTAGCACACACGGACGCACGCACACGTATAAGCACGCACAACCACAACAACAGTTACAAGACACAGACACGCTCGGGGGGGGGGTGAATTGAGGGCGGCAGTAGTTGTAATTTTTGCTTAAATATTTCGCAAAAATTATTTGAATAACTGTAATTGCTTTTGGGAATTACGGTTAACGGTTAACGGTCAACGGTTTACAGTTTACGGTTCTGTTGGTTGTGTTACGGTTTTCTTGAACGCGCGGCGTATCCGTGGGCTCTCCCGTGGAAGTATGTTTGTATCTCAACGAACGCTCGACTAGTGTCCGACAGCTTCGTGTCGCTTGCTCGTTGTGGGTGTCTCTATCGTGTGGCTGCTGCTGCTGCTGCTGCTTCTGCTTCTGTAGCTGTCGCTGCTGCCTCTGCTCCTATCGACTGAGCGCGCATGTGACAAGCGCCACCGCTGCTTCTGCTCCCCATTTTCGAAGTTCGAAAGGTCGAAGAGGATGCGGAAGCATGGAGAGCACTGCCAAAAGTCTACACAAATGACAAAGAGAGAGAGAGCGAGAGAGAGAGAGAGAGAGCGAGCGAGAGGAGCTTCCGTTGCAGTTTCAACGAAATGAATGCACTTTTCAGAGACAGAGAGAGAGAGTGCGCACAAGTCAGCTGATTGTTGTTTCTGTTTGTTTTTTACTTTGCTTTTTGCACTATGAAACTCACATACACGCACACAGATACACCGCACACACCGCACACACACACACACACACACACACACACACACCTTGACAGAAACACGCGCGTCGTGTCGTGTCGTTCGTTTTGTAGCTTTTTTGGTTGTCAGGCTAATTTTTTGTTGCCTCTTTCTTTTATTTTTATTTTCGTACTTTGTGTTTTACTTTGGTTTTCCTTACTTTTACAGCTCACACGTGCTTTTTGTTGGCGGATAAGCTTTTATTCTTGGCGGAGAATATAAAATGTTCCTTCAATTTTATTTGTGGGGCACGGCACGCTTTGTGGCTTCAATTTTGAATTTTAACAATTTTTTGATATTTTTTGTTTGTTGAGTTGTAATTGTAATTAATTTGCCTTTAGACGGCGCTGAATGTTCAACTAACTCTGACTGGCACACGCGCTCATTGCAAAGTGTAGAAACACGCCGCTGCCGCTGCCACTGCCGCTACCGCTGCTGCCTGATGGCGATGCCGCCAAGGCGAAGAGAGAGAGAGAGAGAGAACGCAAACACAGAGCTAAGGGCAGACTCACAGATACACAAATACACGGATACGCGGCGGCGGCAATGCTCGTATTTGAGATAAACGGCGACAGCTTAGAACCATGTGCTGTTTTGCTCTCTCCCTCTCTCTGTCTCTGGGCCGACACTCTCACGCGCCCTCTCTTGATGGAGGGGCATTGAGTGTGGCAAAACTTTTTGTCGCATGGCGCGCGCATCTAACTAAAGCCAACAACAAAAACTACAAAACAAGAAGGGAGCTTTGAGTTAAGCTTAAGTGAAGTCTCTCTCTCTCTCTCTCTTGCATACTTCTAATTGCCTTCTAATGCATGCGCACACACACAAAGATCATTTGGCATTTTCCACTGCGTCTCAAAGTTCAGTCTGATATTCGCGGTCTCTCTCAGCAAAACGCTTGCGCTCTCGCCCTCTCTCCGAGATGATCGCCGGTCGGCTCTTTTTTTGTTGTATTTATTTTTTACTCATGCAAAAGTTTTTTGTTTTTGTTGGTGGCTTGGCTATTACGTCAATGGAACAGAAACGCTGACGTTTATAGTTGTATCTGTATCCCTCCCGTATCTGTATCTGTATCTGTATCTGTATCTCTTGCCTGTGTTTGGCACTGCGGCAACTAGCGTTCATTTCAATGTTTTTACGTTTCCATCTCTCTCCTTCCTTCTCTGATTTATCTACGTTTCTTTATTTTTCACTATTTCGGTTGATTTTTATTTTTGTTTTTTTTTCTAATATCATTTCTAAAATGTATTTGCACGTCGACGCCGACGCCAACGCTGACCGCAGCAGCGCTCACGTGAGTGGATTTCAGAGCTCTATGAAAACCTTTTTAATGTGTGGAAATTTTTGTTTATTTGTGTATTTTTTTGCCCATTTTTCTTGGCTGTAATTTGTATAAATAAACATTCGGAGAAACTCGCATAGAGAATCATCATCACGAGAGAAACGAGAACTTGGCTGCAATGCCCATGGACAATGAATGGGGGGTAAGGTGTGGCAGCAATTAGAGCGCCTTGAAATTCTGTAATGTCTGTAAATGAGGGCCAAAACACGAAAAGTGATAAGACCAATTCCCCAATCCTCATCCCATTGATGCCTGAGTAAACAAAATAATGCAAATATAATCAACTCCGTAACGAATTTTAATACTTTTTATTGCAATTTCTTCAGAATTCACACAGCTAGAGACACTTTTGGGAGAATAGCTTTAGTAATAGCAATGTGACTGTACATCAAACATGTTCAAGATAAATATCGATAGGCACAAAACCATTAATTTATCAGTAAGGTCACTGAAGGAGCTAATATTATAAATAATCGAATGATCTTTGCAATGGCCCTGATCAAGACATTGTGTGATCTCCCCCATTATAATCCAGACAGACCCCACCCTGGTCCCAATGAACTAAGAGCTGCTTCCACAATGTAACCTTCAGATCAACTGAAACTACAAAGCAAATTAAAATAGTTTAACCAAATCTGAACGTACAGACAGGCCCAATACGTACTATTTTGGTCATTTGTGAGATGGTGATTCAGGGCTCATGGTATATGCCAGAGAAAATACAGATGCAGAACACGAAATACGTAGTATGTTCTTGTGTATATAGGGTAGAAGGAACCCAAAGACTCAATTTCTGGGAAAGAAACAGAACGAACACCCCCGAAAAAGTGTCGCCTGTCATCATGTGACATGAAGAGCTAGGAAACGAAACGACGACAGGAGAGGAGCACCACTGCCTTCAATGCGAGAATATCTGAAAACTATACAGAAATATCTACAAACAATATATACATTTTATGTATGTATGTTTCTGAGGATAAAGATGTATTAGGCAGATAGATGGATGTACTTTTCGACTGGCTATATGATGGCGGAAACGTCATTCCCATTCGAAGCAGAGTTCTCTGTTCCTCTGGGCAAACCGAAACGTGTTCAAGCGCCATAAATTATAAATGAGCCGAGCGAGAGGCGACGCAACTTTGGCAGATGGGTTTGACCCCCGGCTAACCCCCTTCCGGTAGATGCAACAAAAGCAGGCAAGACAAAGCAAGAAAGTATCTCAAAGTGTGTAGGTGTGGAGGGGTGTAGTGTTTGGGTTGGAAAGCATTTTGAAGAGGAATTCTGAAATTGAATTCTGAATTTTCGAGGCAGAAATCCCAAAAATACGAGTAGTTCCAACAATGTGGTACCGCCCCGCCCGCCCATCACGACGACATGTCACGACTGTCAAGGAACTGGCTACAAACACCTCGCTCTCTTCAGATACATATGTACATACATATTTATGAATCTCTATATACATATCGTACCCATATATCCATGTGTATCTGCAGCGCCTAAAACGAAAATGTATTTGCTTTGGCAGGCCGCATTTCGAATGGATTTTCGTGGGTTTCTTTCAGTTTTTCAGACGGAGGTCTCTTAAGTACTGCTGCTGGCAAATATTGTCGCACACCTTATCGCGGGGGGGACAACCATCAGAGCACGCATTGCACGCATATCAGTAGGCAAACATCTGACCCGAAAGCCGAAAGAAGCGGCCAGCCAAGAAACATTATTGTACATTTATTTCTTATCTTCAAAATAGATCACCAAGCATCCAGCCTTGAGAGCCCATCAAGTCGAGGGGTTTTTTAGCTTTTTGGAGTAGGATTTGTTGGATTAAAGAAAAGCGAGAATTGAAATGCGTTTAATTAGTGGAAATTAACACAGTCTTGTGAGTGATCTTCGTGCTCGTGTCTAGCGATCTGTGGGATCAACTACTAGAGCGTTCTTTTGTACCGCCTCCCCTCCCCCTCCCTCTGTTTGTTTCTCTAATTTGTCTCACACACAGACACAGACACAGACACATCCACAGACGGAGATTACCCATTATCAGCCTGCATATATGTACATACATAAATATTTACATGCATATGTACTCGCACACAGAGATCTCTGAAAGATCTGAACTGAACTAAATGTTGCTCTATTTGAAATCTCGCACATTTATACGAAACAAAACGAAACGAAAAACGGACAACCGACAACCGACAACCGCCAACGACGACAAGTTGTACAAATTAACGTACAAATGAATGACGGAATTAGTACGTGTGCTCTTTGTTGATCTTCAAATAAGGGAGAAGTAGGATTGGAGCTGTAACGGGAGAGGGACTTAGATCTTTATCTAGTGGGACTTCATGACGGAGACCTCTAGATGTTCCTTTTGTAAGTCAACTAAGGTGATCTTGAATCTCTCAAATGTCTAAGTGGATCACTATCTACCAGCTAACGTGCACCAGCTGGATACACAGTCAGTACTCTTTCCACAGCAGACACAAAATCTGATGGATACACTTTGCTGCTGTGGTAATTCATTAGCAACACGCAAATGAATTAATAACACCAAACTACGAGAATATTTTGTATCTCTCAAGTTTTTCCTTTTGTTAGCACATTTTTCGAAGCTGTGGAGGTACAGTGAGGGCGGATGGGGTAAGGGATCTGAAGAGGGGCAGGTGTGGGGAATAGCATATGCAATGATTGCTGATTCGTAGATTTGTCCGCTTGAATAGATTTCTAGAGATGCACGGATACACACCGAGTCTGATGATTAGAATTAGTTATGATGAGAATTGAATTTTTAGCCTCCATTTGCAAGGCAGAGGGTTGATGGCACAAGAAACGGCAGCAGGTGGCAGTAAATATAGTGGCATACAAATATCTACTTATATGAGATCTCTGAATGCTGAAACTTATAAATCTTGCCGCAGAATTTTCCCCATACCACGTGACACTACTTCAAAGAAGTGTTCCTTTGGGTCATCTCTCATTTCTGGTATGTAAAACGATTTATAAAGTGTCTCTGAGAAATCCAAGAGACGTTTTCTGGGTTAGTTCCTTTTTTCAGCGGCCCACCTCCAGCAGTGGCGGCAGCGACAGCGGGTAGAGAGGAAAGAAAAGCTCGGAAAAGCGTCAATGCCAAAAGAAAAGACGGATAGAGAGAGCACGTGACGGCAGCAACAAAAGAAAAGTAAACATGCACCACTCTACTCTCACTCCATCTGTTGGGCTTACCTACAACCCACGCATGATCATTTATAAGCTGTCAGTGTCAGGGGGGAAACAGTGGTGCAGGTGCAGGGCCGGAAATGCCTTAAGTGGAAGCACACGCACTCCTCAACGCACCCGAAGGAGCCGGTGAAACAATGGAGAGAGAGACGACAGGGCCAAGGAGTATACCGTGGGTGCAAATTTGCCGAACAGCGTAAGAAAGAGCCAACTAGGAGAACAAGAAATTCCACGATTTCCAACTCAATCTTGAACACCATTTCATTGAACCTTTTCCTTCCACCCTGCACCGAACCCCCACCCGTGGGGTGCCCCGTGGTCATTCGATTGGGCAATCGCTTACCGTTTTTATTGGGCAAACTGTTAATTGAATTAGTTTTTGCTTCCCTTCTTTCGTTAAAGTCGTCTTATCTAGTGACAGAAAGATATGAGAATCGGTTTAGGCACAGAAATATTTCTCTATTTTCTACCCATTCCTCTTGCTCTTCCCAATCTTCGCCTTCCCTTCAATAGTGAAATGGGGTGGGGGGCGATGTATGTATGTATGTATGTATGTATGTATGTATGTAAATTCAATTAAAATTTTGCGTGTGACGTTTGCTTCAGACATTGGCGCGTGTTTCGAAGGGTATACTGACACAGTGTACATATATGTACATAGATACGATAGAACTATGGCCGCATAAATTATTTATACACTCTCACCATACATTTCACCTTGAACCGCAAACATTTTTCGTAAAAGTTTCATTTATTTTTGCCAAAACCAAAAGAACAAATAAACAAAGATATTTGCAATGGAAGGAGATGTGGCGGGGGATACATGTATTTACGTATACATATGTACATATATCTCACTCATTTGATTGCTTTTTGTTGTTTGTAATTGTCTAAAATATTTTACACTTATGTTTGGCTTGAGAAATCCTAGCAATTTTTCAATTTACTGTCAGGCAGCGTTGACGCAGCAGCAGCGGCAGCGGCAGTGCGCTGAGGCAAATGTCAATTAACGCAGCATTACATGGGTATAGGTTCGAGAGGGTTTCGTGGCCTGGGGGCGAGTGGAGTAAGGCTTGGGCTAAGG